CTAGCATTTCTGCTAGACCTGGAGGAAGTGCTTGATAAATAGGTTCTTCAGAAAGAACAGTCAACACGCGCAGGAGATTAAATATGGCCCAGTAACTAATAAACTCAGAACTCTCAACTGTCAGGACTTATAACTGGTGTATGACTGAGTAGTGAAACTTTATTATTATTACATAAGTATAATTCTATAGGTGATTCTGGGACTGGTATATGTTTAGCTCTATGGTGTCACTCAGGCATTAAGGATGCCAGGATGAGGAGGACTTTACTAGCATACTGTCAGACCAAATTTGAGAAATATCAGTAAACTTAGAGAAATCTAATGTTAGAGAAGGAAGAATGTTTTCATTTTGGAATATTTTTTACAGGAGTCATTTTATCACTTGATGTTCTGAGGGCCAGGGTGTGGTGACTCACAGCTGTAATCCCAGCACTTTGGGAGGCCCAGGCAGGTGGATCACCTGAGGTCAGGAGTTCAAGACCAGCCTGACCAACCTGGAGAAACTCCATCTCGACTAAAAAGTTGATGTTTCAAAAATTTTTCTTTCCAAATCATATTTGGAGTATATTACTTTTGTTGAAAGATAATCCTGTTTCCAAGTATCATTCTCATTTAATATAATTAAAATATGGTTTAATTTATGAAAATTGCACTTTCACATAATTTTGGTCATTTGTTATATAAAAATAGTACTTCTGTACTAGAAACATTTTATTAATTTTAATCCTAAATTACAGTATTAATTCATGCATACAAGGATTTCAGAAGTATAGAAATATATAGAGGGAAACATAAGGGCCAAGTCTCCTCATTACTAGTTTTCTACATATTCTTGCAAACTTCTTTTCTGTGTGTTTATAAGCATGTGTAACTTATATTAGAACATGTTTCTATATACACATGCATATGCATATGATGTTTTCAAGAATACGTGGCCTCTTAATTTTCATTGGTTGGAAAATCTGACTATATCTTGTTTTTTGGTGTTGTTTTGTTTTTGAGACAGAGTCTCACTCTGTTCCCCAGGCTGGTGTGCAGTGGTGCAATCTTGGCTCACTGCAACCTCACCTACCAGGTTCAAGCAATTCTCCTGCCTCAGCCTCCAGAGTAGCTGGGACTATAGGCACCTGCAACTGTGCCAGCTAATTTTTCTTATTTTCAGTAGAGACAGGATTTTGCTATGTTGGCCAGGCTGGTCTCAAACTTCTGGCCTCAAGTAATCTGCCCATCGCAGCCTCCCAAAGTGCTGAGATAATAGGCATGAGTCCCTGCACCTGGCTTGTAGTAATTTCTTTTAATTTATGAAGACCTTACTAGAAAGTAGAAGTTCATCTGATGGTATTTACAAATATGGATTTGCTGCTGTGTATTTATTGGAAAACATGAGGGCTAATACTTATTGCCCTAGTTGGCAAATTCAGTGACTGATCCTGTATCAGTAGGAATTCTCTGATGCTGAGAAGATGAGAGGAGGACCTCTCAAATGGCCTGATGTTTGTAAGAGATGGGCTTGGAGGCAGAAAGTGAGGGCTCTGCCCTGATGCCCTTGAGGAGCGTTTACAGAGTGGTGTAACCACGCTGGTCTGTGGCGACTGAAAGTCCAGGCGCTGCGGGTTGGAGGAGGGAGTGATTGGATTCGGGTGGTGTCCTGGATAAGAGGTTATCTGGAGCGGAGAAGAGCTGATTGTCAAGGAAGAACTGGCAGAGGAGGAGGGAGGAAAAAGAAGTAAATAGAGAAGAATACAGTTCTGTGTAAGGAGCCATAATGGTTTTGGTAGAATTTAACAGCAGCATAGTAAAAGTGAGATTTGTATGTTGTAAACTGGAGAAAATGTGACTTGAGGTAGTAGATCTTTGAAGATCAAGCTGGAGAAGTTGAACTGTTTGTTAAACAAGTAGAAGTTCATGGCGTTGACTAAGGTAAATGGAAATGAAATTTCTGTGTTCTAGAGTAATTGTTCTGGTAGCTAAGTTTAGTATTGTTGGGAAGCTGGGCAAGGAGACGCCTGCAAAGGAAGCAGGTGTAGACAGTCACAGCATCCAAGAAAGGGCAGGTGCATCTGGGCTCTGGGTTTACTCGGAAGTTAGAGGGAAGGAGCACATCTAGGACGCAGCCCTGGCTGTCCCCACATAGAAGGTGCTCCAGGTTTGCCTTCTGTCCTTTCTGTTCCCGTCACTGGTGGTTGGATTCAGAGGGAAAGGAGCAGCAAAGGAGGTGACCCCACAGTGACTTGCTACTTGGGCAGGACCACAGTTCAACACCTGCCTTAGTGTTGAGCAGACCCTTGGGTGGAGCCAGATCCGACTTAGAGTATTGAACTTCTTTACTGCACTGTGAAGAAATGGCAGAATTCAACTGCATGCTTGGTTTTGTGACCCAGTTTGGCTAGTCTAACAAGCCCTCCAGTTGTCTTCACCCCATCCCCACATTTCTTCCTGCTCTTTGGGTAAGGCAGCCCCCTCCTTGTACCCCAGGCCCCCCTGCTCAGAATAGGCCTCGACAGTGGCAGAGGCACCTCCCTTGGATTGGAGCAAATGCCTCTGGCAGCAACTTTTCCCAATCTCCGGCTTCTTGAATATTGTCTTTCCCAACTTTTAAGCCTTTTTCTTAATTCTGGAAAGTTGCTATTCCTTTGTTTTTTTCCAGAATGGAGTCAAGCTGACTTAATTTAGGAACAGATTCACCCTAGACCACGCCGTGATTCAAGCAGATTAAATGCTTCCTGTCAAGGAGCATCAGAGTGAGGTCTGCCTAGGTTTCTGGTCCAGAGGAGGCAGAAGCTCCAGCCTGTCCCTGCAGAGCGCTCAAGGCCAGTGAGTGTGGCCACAGGGTGCTGGCTGGCTGTAGCCAGGATGTGTGTCTTGATGATGGCCTCTGGGGGACCCGGAATTAGCTGCTGGGCCCCATTTTCTCATATACAAACATGAGAGAGGCTGAATAGGAAAGAAACCATCTTAGCAGAGAACACCCACCCCCATGAGAACATTCTCTGCCCAGCTCCTGCAGAGGCTGGTCTGGCTTCCGCAGGGCTGTCTGTCATTGGCTCGAGTACTTTGTGCTTAGGAAAGTAACTCATGGCAGTTCCACACCTCAGAACATTTCTCTGATCACATCTCAGTTACCTGTCCACAGTCGCCTGTGACCGTTGAAGCCTAAACCAAAAACGTGGTTGCCGGAGCATTCATGTGGACTATGCTCTTCCTTCTTTGAAAGCTCATTTGTGACCACAACGGCTTTGGCCCTCCTCTGCAAGGGTGTTTTATTTTTGCCCCAATGACAGAGAAAATATTTTCTTTCCCTTTTTTCTGGACACGGGGTCTCACTTTGTCACTGAGGCTGGAGAGCAGTGGTTCAGTCATGGCACACAGGCATCTGGAACTGCCAGGCAGAAGTGATCCTCCCGCCTCAGCCTCCTGAGTAGCTGGGACTGGGACTGCAGGCGTGCACCACCATGTCTGGCTAGTTAAAACATTTTTTTTAGAGACAGAATCTCACGAGGCTTGTCTTGACCATCTTATCTTGGACATCTTGTTGCCTAGGCTTGTCTTGAACATCTTGTCTCAAGCGATCCTCCTGCCTCAGCCTTCCAGTGTGTTGGGATTACCAGCATGAGCCAGTGTGCCTGGTCCACATTTTTTCTAAATAGGTTTCTTTTCTCCTTTCTTTGAGACAGAGTCTCGTTCTGTCGCCCAGGCTAGAGTGCAATGGCACAGTCTCAGCTCACTGCAACCTCCACTTCCCAAGTTCAAGCAATTCTCCTGCCTCAGCCTCCCAAGTAGCTGGGATTACAGGCATACGGCACCACACCCAGCTAATTTTTATATTTTAGTAGAGATGGAGTTTCACCATGTTGTCCAGGCTGGTCTCAAACTCCTGACCTTGTGACCCACCTGCCTTGGTCTCCCAAAGTGCTGGAATTACAGGCTTTGGGAGACCAGGAGTGAGCCACCACTCCTGGCTACTCTTTGCATCTTTTTTTGTTTGTTTGTTTGAAATAGACTCTCCTTCTGTCACCCAGGCTGGAGTGCAGTGGCATGATCTCCACTCACTACAACCTCTGCCTCCCAGGTTTAAGCAACTCTCCTGCCTCAGCTTCCCGAGTAACTGGGATCACAGGTATCTACTACCACACCTGGCAAAGTTTGGCATTTTTAGCAGAGGCAGGATTTCACCATGTTGGCCAGGCTGGTCTTGAACTCCTGGCTTTAAGTAATCCATCTGCCTCAGCCTCGCAAAGTGTTGGGATTACAGGTGTGAGCCATCGCCTGGCTCTAAATAGGTTTATTTCCCTATATGAACCATTTTCCAGTATCCAGGCCCTCCCTGGAGAACTGTAATGGGGATGCCCATCTGGGTGAAGGTGGGAGATGGTGTGGAGAGAAGCCAACTGAGGAAAAAATGTGTCTTGGCTAGTTTCGGTCAAAAGAGAAAAGCAAAAGGGAAGAGTGAATTTTATTTTATATTTTTTACTTTATTTTACGGAATATCGTTAATGTTGTCCAGACTAGGGTGCAGTGCTAATCACAAGCATGATTGCAGACAAGCTCCTGGGCTCATGTGATACTCTCGAGTAGCTGGGACTTACAGGTGTGTGCCACCACACTGGCCTGGAAAGGGCAGAACTCTGAGCCTAGATTTCCAGAACACAATGAAAATACTACTGACAGATTAGAAACATGGTTTTTTAAAAAGGAAGAGGTCAATTTTTTATGATGTTTCGGATTCCAGTGACTTTCCTCTGGACAGTGGGGTGCAGGTTCTGATGGCATTTGTCCACACTCGACTTTTCTGCTCATGGTGTTCTCAGGATAGAAAGAGCTGGAGTGCCATGCATTTCACTTTCCCTCCTTGGAGACCAGTGTCCAAAGCTTTAGAGCAGAGTATTTTAAAGAAGCATCATGTAAACATGGGACATAGGATGAGAATATGAAATTGCCTGCTTGATGTTTTATTTACAGTTGTTGGGAGTTAATAAGTCATATGTGTCTTTTTCTCCTAGGTTCATTTTCCAGACACTGAAAGAGCAGAATGGCTAAATAAGGTAAGAGTAGAGTATACCAAATACCATCTATCAGTGGAATTGGAGGATGAGATACCATCTTTCCATATTTGGGAATTTGCATGTTGGTAACATTTAAGCTTGTTTGTACTTTAGTGGGTTGGCTTCTGCTCCCAAAGACCTCAATCATAACTAACACAGTTTTTTTTCCTTTCCAGGAGAGTGAGAACTGTGTCTTTGACTTGAGGAAAGTATAGGCATGTTCATATTTGTATCTCTGGCCATGTGTCTTCTTTTCTGAACAGCCAGGACTCAAAGCAGCTTTGTAATAATTGTAAGCTTTAAGAAGCATTACAAAGAAAGAAATAACTTTCAAGAAACCGAGTAATCAATAACAATTTCTTTTTTTTTTTTTTTTTTTGAGATAGAATCTTGCTCTGTTGCCGAGGCTGGAGAGTAATGGAGCAATCTCGGCTCACCACAACCTCCGCCTCCCAGGTTCAAGCTGCCTCACCCTCCCAAGTAGCTGGGATTACAGGCATGTGCTACCATGCCCGGCTAATTATGTATTTTTAGTAGAGACGTGGTTTTTCCATGTTGGTTAGGCTGGTCTCCAACACCCCACCTTAGGTGATCTGCCCACCTTGGCCTCCCAAAGTGCTGGGATTATGGGCGTGAACCACCGTGCCTGGCCAACAATCATTTTTTTGAAGGTTGTGGTTTTAGAGTAGTATGCCTTGAATGAGGTCTCTTTTATCTCTGTATTTGATGCATCTTTAGGACCACACAGTGAACTCATGTTGATGATCACTTACAGTGCTAGAAGTTCTGCTGTAGAAAAAAAAAAAAATAGGTGTTTATTAATACTCATACAGTTTAAGAAAGTTTTCAGCAACAAATTTAAACCACAGGATTTTTAGCAATCTTTAAGTGTGCTGACATACTTAAACAGAATATTTAACCAGAATAAGTAGTTTCTGCAACATACTGGTTAATCAGTTGTTGGTTTTTCTAATAACTTCTTAGAATTTAGATCATGTTGATTTTGTATAACAAGAAGATCCTCCTCTCCTTTATTTTTAAAACCAGGTTTTGGTCAGCTACGAGCGTTTCTCATGAGCACTCGTGTGTGTCATGCATTACAGCATTTTGTTTAACCTGAGTTCTTTTTCCTCTCCAGACCGTAAAACACATGTGGCCTTTCATTTGCCAATTTATAGAGAAGTTGTTTCGAGAAACTATAGAACCAGCCGTGCGGGGAGCAAACACCCACCTTAGCACCTTCAGTTTCACGAGGATCGACATGGGCCAGCAGGTCAGTTTCCTCTTAAGTGCCTTAATGTGTGCACACAGTCAGACTACGGTGAAAACATGAAAAATATTTTCTTTTCTATTCCTCTTTTTTTTTTTTTTTTTTTTTTTAAGACGGAGGCCTCACTGTGTCGCCCAGCCTGGCCTCAAAGTCCTAGGCTCAAGTGATCTTTCCACCTCAGCCTCCCAAGTAGCTGGGTATATCTTTTTTAAACAACTTCATCTGGGCACAGTGGTTCACACCTGTGATCCCATCACTTGGGGAGGCCTGAGCTTAAGAGTTTGAGACCAGCCTGGCCAACAAAGTGGGACCCCAACTCTACAAAAAAAATTTTTAAAGTTAGCTGGGTGTGGTGGCACATGTGTGCAGTCTGAGCTGCACGAGAGGCTGAGGCAGGAGGATCACTTGAACCCCAGGAGGTTGAGCCTGCAGTGAGCCATGATCACACCACTGCACTCCAGCCTGAGTGACAGAGGGTGACCCTATCTCAGAAAACAGACAGCTTCAAATTATGTTCTGGAGAAAACTGTTCACTGAAAAGGTCTGCGGGGTGCACCTGCAGTTCCCACTCAGGCTCTGCCTCCAGCCAGGGTGCCTTTCCTGTCTCTGTCACTCAGTCTCCACCTCCAGCCACGGTGCCCTTTCCCATTTCTCGGGAGGCCGTCCTGCTGTCTTCTTGCCTGTCCTGCTGCCCTCTCGCCCACAGTGTCCTTCCCGTCTCTGTCACTCAGGCTCCACCTCCAGCCACGGTGCCCTTTCCCGTCTCTCGGGAGGCCGTCCTGCTGTCTTCTTGCTTGTCCTGCTGCCCTCTCGCCCACAGTGTCCTTCCCGTCTCTGTCACTCAGGCTCCACCTCCAGCCACGGTGCCCTTTCCCGTCTCTCGGGAGGCCGTCCTGCTGTCTTCTTGCTTGTCCTGCTGCCCTCTCGCCCACAGTGTCCTTCCCGTCTCTGTCACTCAGGCTCCACCTCCAGCCACGGTGCCCTTTCCCATCTCTCGGGAGGCCGTCCTGCTGTCTTCTTGCTTGTCCTGCTGCCCTCTCGCCCACAGTGTCCTTCCCGTCTCTGTCACTCAGGCTCCGCCTCCCACCATGGTGTCTTTCTCCCTGTCTCTGTCGGGAGGCCGTCCTGCTGCCCTCTCACCTGTGGTGCTGTCTTGGCCATGTCAGCCTCCATACATGGCTTCTCTTTAACCCTAACTTTCTTTGCATAACGTGTCTTTCTGCTGCACCTTCTTCTGTCAGCATGCCCTTTTCGGAAGCAGTAGTTTTACGTAGTCTTTCCTGTGGGAGAGTTTGATCTGTGAATTCATGCTAAATGTGCAGTAATTGACAAGCTTACGGTGTTTATCCCTTTCGGGATGTTAAAAGAAAAGACAATTAATGACTCTAATGCTGGTATGGTAGGCATAACATTAACTACTGCAGGTGGAAGGAAAGACAGATTTTGTTAATGGAGTCACGTTATATAAAAAGAAAAGCTGCTACTTCCTAATAACACTTCTGGAAAAAGCCTCAAGGGTACATTTAGTTGATCATGGTAAGTTTTCCTTTTTTATTTTATGTTTTTAAATCGGTATTATATAAATAGCAATAGTCCGAGGTAACGTTGTTTTATATGCCTACAGACTCCAGACGTCACAGTTCTTGTAAACACACACACAATCCACACACGCTGGTGCACACAGCAGAGTCCACACACAGATGTCACCGCATGTTGTGCTCAGGATTATGATTGATGTGGCTGCAGGAGGAGTCTGGCATGGCTGCTGTGTGTTTGTCACCTGTCAGTGGGCGCCAGTGTCCACCCCATGCTCTACAGGCTGCTGGCCACCTTTCTCCATCAGAGCTGACTTTCTGTGTGCAGAGACTGCCCCATCTCAGAGGCAATTACTCCAGACCCAGCGCCTCCTGTGCGGCCTCATGTGTGGCTCTGCCTATATGTGCTGCTGCTCTTCCTGTGATGAGCCTGAGACGTGGCCATCCTGTGCGAGAGCCCATGTCTCTGCACAGGACACCTGTGGGACACTTTTAGTGTTGACTTTACCTTTCAGCACCTAAAATGGTAACCACAGATGGGGAAAAAAAACGCAATTAGAAGTTAAAGTGCCATGTGAATGCAAGTAAAAATCCCAGTGACAAGTTAAATGCTGTAAAGCAAGGGCTGTGTGCTGTGTCTGTCCATGGCCAGGTCATAATGTTTTAGCTCTAATCCACCTAACGTCTTTGTGGCATAATTTCCTGCTGTCCCTCCCTTTTACAGCCCTTTAGCCAGGTGAAAACCATCTTAGCTCCAGGGCTGTAGAGTCAGGTCAAAGGCTACATTTAGACTGCAGACCATAGTCTGTTAATTCCCTAAGTTACAGCATGCTCATGTTTGTGGTTATTTAAAATTCCAGCCTCGGCCTCGTGCAGTGGCTCACCCTTGTAATCCCAGCACTTTGGGAGGCCGAGGAGGGTGGATCACGAGGTCAAGAGATCGAGACCATCCTGGTCAACATGGTGAAACCCCGTCTCTACTAAAAATACAAAAAATTAACTGGGCATGGTGGCACGTGCCTGTAATCCCATCTACTCAGGAGGCTGAGGCAGGAGAATGCCGTGAACCCAGGAGGCGGAGGTTGTGGTGAGCCGAGATCGCGCCATTGCACTCCAGCCTGGGTAATGAGCGAAACTCCGCCTAAAAAAAAAAAAAAAAAAATTCCAGCCTCAGTCGGGTTTACTTTAGGAATAATTTAAATGTGTTCGAGTTCCCTCACACACACTTTAAGCTTGATACCAATTGAATAAGAAGCTCCTTGGTGAATAGCAAGAGTATTAAGAGGAATGCTGATTCAGTAAAGATAGCTTTGGCATTTTCATCTACTGTACCAATGTCTTAAAAATGGCAAAACCAGGCTTTCTGATGAAGGGATGGATAGAATGGCATTCAGAGTCCTGTGCAGGGTCCTTGGCCAGCCTGTGTGCTGACCGAGACTCGCAGGCGGCGGGATGGTGTTGCCTCCAGGTGTTTGTCCTTCATTAGGTAATGCCCGGTCATCTGCAGTGGGTTGGTCCCGAATCTCTATGTCATTCGGCAAGTATGTTATCTGATGCACATGATGCATGTGCCGTTTTCACTTGTTAGCATAGCTTGTTGGTTTTTTCTCAGCGCAGTCTGTACATGGCTTAGCTAGTATAAAGAAGAAGCCTGGAAACTTGGGAGCATAGGAGGTGGCTAGACTCTCAAGTAAAGGCTTAGAGTTTGATTTGACAGCTAGTTGAGAGGTGTGATTTTAATACACTCAAGCTTGTCCAAGTAAGCAGTGTACTGTAGAGGTAAAGTGTTTCTTTCTTTTTTGAGACAGGGTCTCACTCTGTCACCCAGGCTGGAGTACAGTGGTGTGATCACTGCTCACTGCAACCTCAACCTCCCAGGCTCAAGGGATTCCCCCTACTTCCACCTCCCAAGTAACTGGGACTACAGGTGCATGCCATCATGCCTGGGTAATTTTTGTATTTTTTGTAGAGATGGGGTCTTCACTAAGGCTGGTCTCAAACTCCTAGGCTCAAGTGGTTCTTCTGCCTCAGTCTGCCAAAGTGCTGAGATTACAGCTTTGAATCATTGTGCCTGGTTTTTTGTTTGTTTTAAGAGGTGGGGTTTCACACTGTTGCCTCGTCTAGAGTACAGTGGCACAATAATAGTTCACTGCAGCCTCAAACTCCTGTGTTCAAGCAGTTGCCCCACCTCAGCCTCCTAAGGAGCTAGAACTACAAGCCTGCACTACCATCTTAACTAATTTTTTTATTTTTTGTAGAGGTGGGGTTTCCCCATGTTGCCTAGGCTGATTTCAGTCACCTGGCTTCAAGGAATTCTTTGCCTTCGTATCCCAAAGTGTTGGAATTACAGACCTGAGCCTCTATGCCTGGATGTGAAACTCTTAAGAAATAAAAAATCATGAGACGTAAAGAATAAATGAAAGGAGGTTATGTTTCAAACACAGTAGTAAGGATGGAGTTGAGGGAGAGGGTCAAGTTAAATGGTAAGAGACAAGAGTAAGAAGCTTGAAAAGAGCAAGTGTGTAATGCTACCTGTGCTGGCGACAGTCAGACCTAGTGCTCGCTGATTACTGTGAGCAAGGCAGGCACTACACTCTTGACGTTTATTTTGTCACCAAATTTCACAGTAATCTTATGAAAAAGAGGCCGTTATTGTCTGCAGCTCATGAGAAGAAGCTGAGGAACGGGTTAAATAGTTGAAAATCAAGCTGCACTCTGTTTTGAAGGCAGAATTTTAATTCCTGTTGTAGTCTGAAACTTAAAGCTTGTTCTCTTTATACTGTGTTACAAGGTTTGATTTTTTTTTTTTTTTAACCTCTGTATTTTAAAATAAGCTAATTCTTATTTCAGCCCCTCAGGATCAATGGTGTTAAGGTATATACTGAAAATGTAGACAAGAGACAAATTATTTTGGACCTTCAGATTAGGTAAGTTTTTATTTGTTGTATTTGTGTCATGGTTAATGGTGTGTAATATCACTTAGTTGTACCTGTAAGGTGGAGGATACAGTGAGCATACGTCAAACCTGCTGTGGTTGGAATTCGACTAAATTCTTGTTAGACATCCAAATATTATTTCCCTTCTGGGTCCAGTTTCTAGTAGCCTGGATAATTGCCATTCATAAAATGTGTTACATAAAAAGAAGTTAAAGACACCACAAGAAAACTGTGGACCAGTTTTTATGAACATTGATTCAAAAATCCTTAACAAAATACTAACAAACTAAATTTAGCAGCATATTAAAAGTATTTTCTCAGCTCACCATGCCAAAAAATAATTTTTTTAAAAAAGGATTTTACACCATGACCAAATGGGATTTATTCCCGGAATGTAAAGATGATTCAGCACACAAAAATCAGTTGATGTAGTACACCACATTAACAGGAAGGGAAAAACCGAATCACGTGATTACCTCAGTGGATGCAGAAAAGGCATTTAACAAAATTCAGCACTCTTTCATGATGAAAACACTCAATGAACTAGGAATAGAAGGAAACTTATCTCAACATAATAAAAACCATATAAGAAAAACCCACAGTTAACATTATACTCAGTGGTCAAAAACCGAAAGCTTTTTCTTTAAAATCAGGAACACTGCAAGGACGCCCTCTTTCACTGCTTCTCTTCAACACAATATTGGGAGTTCTAGTTGGAACAGTTAGGCAAGAAGCAAAGCTCATCCAGGTTGGAAAGGAAGAAAGACATGTTTGTGAGTGTGTGCATGCGTGCACCTTTGTTTTTGGTTTTTGGTTTGTTTTTTTTGAGACAGGGTCTTGGCTTATCATTCAGGCTGGAGTAGAGTGGTGCAGTCTTGGCTCACTGCAGCTTCGACCTCCTGGGATCAAGCGATCTTCCCACCTCAGCCTCCTGAGTAACTGGGACTACAGGTGCATGCCATCATGTGTGGCTAATTTTTGTATTTTGTGTGGAGATGGGTTTCGCTATTTTTACCAGGCTGGTCCAAACTCCTGGGCTCAAGCGATCCACCCACCTTGGCCTTCCAAAGTTCTGGGATCACAGCCATGAGCAACTGCACCCAGTGGGAGGACTTAATCTTTCTGGTTACAGATGAGATGATCTCATATGTAGAAAACCCTAAAGATTACAGCAAAAAAAAAAAAAAAAAAAAAAAAAAAAACTCTTGGAACTAAAAAATGAATTCAGCAAAGTAGCAGGATATTAAGTGAACCCACTAAAATCGGTTGCATTTTTATACACTGACAATGAACAATCTAAAAAGAAAATGAAACAGTTTCATTTATAATAGAATCAAAAAGAATAAAATACTTAGGAATAAACTTAACTAAGGAGGAGAAAGACTTATAGACTGAAAACTAAAATATTGCCGAAAGAAATCAAAGAAGATACAAATAATTAACAAAACATTCTTTTTTAATTAATGGATTGGAAAACTTAATATTGTTTAGATATTAATACCACCTAAAGCAATCCGGGATTTAATGCATTCCCTGTAATCATGAATAAGCAGTCATCATCCAGAATAGATAGAGCACTCCTGAAATTCAACAACAGAACAACCAAACAGCCCTATTCAAAAATGTAGAAAGAACTTGAATAGACACTTCTCCAGGGAAGATATACAAATGGCTAGTAAGTACATGAAGAGACACTGACCGCTAACCATTAGGCTAATGCAAATCTAGACCATAATGAAATACCATCTAACACCTATTAGAATGGCTACTGCCGAAGGAAACCCAGAAAACAACAGGTGTTGGTGAGGTGGAGAAATGGGAGTCCTTGTGCACTGTTGGTGGACATGTGAATTGGTACTGCTGCTGTGGAAACAGTTTGGCAGTTCCTCAACGCCTTAAACAAAATTACCGTGTGGTCCAGAAACTCGTCTTCTGTTGTACATACCTGAAAGAATCGAGAGCAGGACTCGAGCAGATATTTGCACACCCACATTCTTAGCAGCATTATTTACAGTAGCTAAAAGGCGGAAGCAGCTCAAGTGTCCGTGGGCTGATGAGTGGGTAAGCAAAATGTGGCCTGTATGACGTGGCCTTAAAAACAAGGGCCTCCTGCTCCAGGCTGCCACATGCTGGACTGCGAGGACCTCATGCTGGAGGACGCAAGCCAGACACAAAGGGGCAGCATCTGCGTAATTCCACTTGAGTGAGGTTCCGGGAGGAGTCAGACTCATAGACACAGAAGGAGAATGCTGGTTGCCAAGGCCTGGGAGCAGAAGGAATGGGCAGTTAGTGTTTAATGGGGGAAGAGTCTTCATTTTGCAAGATGAAGAATGTTCTGGAGATGGATGGTAGTGATGGTTGCATATTATGGATGTATTTATTACCACTGAGTTGTACACTTAAAAATGTTAATGAGGGTAGATTTTCTGTGTGTTTAATTAAATTTATTTATGTTATTTATTTGAAACTGAGTCTTGTTCTATCACCCAGGCTGGAGTGCAGTGGTGCAATCTTGGCTCACCGCAACCCCCACCTCTTGGATTCAAGCAATTATTCTGCCTCCCGAGTAGCTGGGATTACAGGCACATGCCACCACACCAGGCTAATTTTTATATTTTTAGTAGAGACAAGGTTTCCCCCTTTTTGGCCAGGTTGGTGTTGAACTCCTGACCTAAAGTGATTTGCCTGCCTCCGCCTCCCAAATTGCCAAGATTACAGGCCTTAGCCACCGTGCCCAGCCAATTTTTGGTGTATTTTAATACAGTATTTTGCATCCGAAAAAAAAATTGAAGATCTGCCAACCACCATGCCTAGCATAATAAAAATAGGCTTCCTTTGCTCCCCCGCCCCCAACTAACCCCAATAGGGTCTCACTGTTGCCCAGGCTGGAGGGCAGGGGTGCAACTGTGCTCAAAAGTGGGCTTTCCTTCTCTTTTGTCCCCATCCTTCCATGAGCTTGCTCAGGGCTTCCCGCCCTGTGTGGGGCCTCACAACACACCGTGTGGTGCGCAGTGAGTGCTGTGCACTCCGAACAACCATGTGGTATCTAGCAGCTCAGTGTTGTATGCTTTTTTAGATCCTTGACTAAGGATCATTTTATTAAAATGATCATCTTTGCGTTTCCGAAGTGTGTAAATATAGTGAATGTACAGAGTTGGTACCAGGTTGCCTTTATTTCAGAAAGAAGCATAGCCTTGCTTCAATCTAATATGAAGAAAATCTGCATCTTTAAAATAGTTGTTGCTAGGGCAAACATCATTGTCATCAGTGGAATAAAAGAAGTGTCCCATGTATGTCTCAGGTCAGGTTATGATCCAGGAGGGACTGTCCACTGGGCTGATACTGGGCTTCAGGAGGGTGGAAGCTGTCTAGTGTCCTCAGCGCCAAGCAAGTTCATCAGTCAGTGGACACCATTCTGAAGTTGAAGTCTGGTTTCATGGTTAGCTGCCATAACTTATGCAAAGTGTCCTGCTCAGATTTGTGTGTCTGAACAAATAGGCATTCTACTTTGCTCTGAGTTCTAGACGAACACTTTAACTAAATTGGCACTTTAATTGGAGGGAGTAACTGAAAAGCATTAGAAAATAAAATGATCAAGGCCGGCTGCGGTGGCCCATGTCTGTTAATCCTAGCAGTTTGGGAAGCCAAGGTGAGTGGACCCCTTGAGGTCAGGAGTTCGAGACCAGCCTTTCCAACATCTACTAAAAATACAAAAAGTAGCTGGGCATGGTGGCGCACACCTGTAATCCCCACTACTCGGGAGGCTGACGTGGGAGAATTGCTTGAACCTTGATGGCGACCGTTGCAGTGAATCATCGCACCACTGCACTCCAGCCTGGGCGACAGAGCGAGACTTCGTCTCAAAGAAAAGAAAATGATCAAGTCATAGGATGAAGAAAAGGAAAGTTTTTAAAATACTTTTGTAACAGGTTATTGGTGATTTTACCAACTAGTAGAGAGCAATTCTCAGTGAGAAGAATCTGTAGGCATTGGCTTTAACACCAGGACAATAAATATTGGAAGAAACTTATCCCAGATTCCTCTTGTAACAATTTTGCTTATCTGCGTAGACCTTCCCTTTCTAGGATTTATCAAACTTCCCCACAAACGTTGTCAGGGAGGAGTGTGACGTCCTACCTCTATGAGCCAAGGGTGGGGATCAGCGCATACACTAACCCATGCAAAAAGTATTTGACATTTCACGTTGATATTAAAAATGGATGCAAATCTTTCCTTTAGCATTATGTTTGTTTCATATTAATATTTGAAATGACTTAATCATTGAATAAAATTAAGGCCCCAAACAGATGCACTGTTTCTAGTCTTTGATGTTACAGAGGCCTGGGGCACTGTGAGATATTTCATGTTTGGGAAGCAAAGTGTGAAAGTTACTTGTGTGAAATAAAATTAAACTTTTTAATGTTGTAAGGTGAGGAAAACTACATTGCACCAAAAGACTGCTTCAGAAGTTGCACTTTGTTATTTACAGTTTCTTTTGAACATGGATATTTATATTTAGTTAAGATTTTTATACATAAGACCACCACCAACAACATTTATTTATTAATTGATAAAGAGTATTCCTCCCAGTGTCATAGCAGTGTTGTATCTGATGACAGCCTGCAGACCTGGACCAGTAAAATTCCATGATGTGATAGGCCACATTTTATGGTTTTTACCTATGATCTGATTTTGGTTGCTTTACTGTCATTGTATTCAGAGTATATATCTTGCAGGTCTATATTGATTAAGAAAATAGTTCATTTCACTCACATTATGTAATGCAGAATTTTTTCTTTGTTAGTTTTGTAGGAAATTGTGAGATTGATTTGGAGATCAAACGCTATTTTTGTAGAGCTGGTGTGAAAAGTATTCAGGTAAGTTTAAAAAAAAGTTGGTAGTTTTCTAAAGTTCTTTAAGCTATATTCAAAAAGAAAATCAAGAAGTTTTTTAGCTTGGAATTTTTCTGAAGTTCAGTTTTTAACTGTAGGTCATATCAACTAAGCCACATGCTCAGAAGTTACTAAGATGTACATGCAAACTCCTTGAGTTAAGTGGCCCTGCAGAATTGTTTTCTGTTACCTGTTTTTGTTTCCTGTTTGAGTTTAGATTCATGGTACCATGCGGGTGATTCTGGAACCGTTGATTGGAGATATGCCTTTAGTTGGAGCTTTGTCTGTCTTCTTCCTTAGGAAACCAGTAAGTCCATATTTATTTCATTTTGTTCCCCATTCGAGACAGAAATACATATCCATGGAAGAATATATAAGCAGAGAAACAAAATTTTATCAACTCATTGTCCATTTCTGTTTCATGAATCTTGTGGGGTTTTGGTATCTCTTTGTGCCTTAACTGAGAGTTTACCTCTTGATAAGCAGCTCTCTTTCCTGATTATAAAAATGTTACAAAAATTTGAAAACAGACTTCTTCAGAAGTGTAGGTCTTAGCTCACATTTTATTTAGCACCTCACTTAATGTGATTTATAGATATTTTCTCATTTAATCCTAACTATTAAATATTAATATTTCCTTTTACTGTTCAGAAACTGAGATTTTTTTCCCTTATTTTTCCAAATCATACAACTAGTAAGAGCCCGTGTACAGATCCAGTTTAGTCTGTCACAGAGCTCATGGACACTGTTGAGAAGACTCACCTGTAAACCTACCTCTTTCCCTTCCAGAGATGAGTGCTGCCATCATTTGGCTGCACCTCCTTCCTCATTTGGGGTGTGTTTAATGAACTGTACACACAGTTTTATATACAGGTTGAATATTTCTTATCAGAGATGCTTGGGACCATATGTGTGTCAGTTTTTATGCTATTTGCATTAGACTCCAGTGAGTATTTCCTTTGAGCATGATGCTAGTACTCAAAAAGTTTCTGACACTGAAGCATTTTGGATTTTTAGATTAGGGATACTGAACCTGTACTCTGTGTGTGTGTGTGTGTGTGTGTGTTGTGTGTGTGTGTGTTTTAAGTAGTTAATACTTGCTGTTTCCTATTTCCCAAAAAACCAAGACAACAGAACTGTCACTCCTACTAGACTCCTCCCTCCTTACCTGGGCTCCTGCAGCCTCTGTCTGGTGCCTCCCTTTGCCACCTTCCGTGTTCATTGTTGTCTGGGTAATCTTCTCCAGGTGCGCACTGCCCATATGGTTGGTTGTCTCTCCCGGGCAGATGAGATTGTGGTGATTTAGACGGGCTCTCCCTTTCCAGCCTGATTTCCCCCTGCTGTCCCAGTGAGCATCCCAGTCTTCACAAATCATACCCTAGGAAAAGTAGCCGCCTGCACCTCACTCCTGCCTTCTCATATCTTTTCCTTTGCTGCAGAAGGCTTTCTTTGCCCCTTTTGTTTCACTTACTTTCAGCAGTTTCTGCACAGGTATTGTTAGCTCTTTGAAAGCAAGGACCATAACTCTCCTTAGAGCAGGTATCCTCAAACTGCAGCCCGCAGGCCGCATGCAGCCCCCTGAGTCCATTTATCCGGACCCCCCCGCCGCATTTCAGGAAGGGGCACTTCTTTCATTGGTGGTCAGTGAGAGGAGCACAGTATGTGGCGGCCCTCCAACAGTCTGAGGGACAGTGAACTGGCGCCCTGTGTAAAAAGTTTGGGGATGCCTGCCTTGGAGTTTGGTAAACGATGAATTGATCTGTTTCTGAAATATCTCTTCAAGATGTGCCGTTGATGAGTCCTTTGTGGAGATACCTTCAACATCATATAATTTAAAGGAGGAATATTAAGTCATGTAATTTGATTCAAGTAACTTATTTTAAAATGTTATTTGGCTTTTAAAATACGGGTTTATCTACACCTGTCATAAACTTAAGTTTACGACAGGTTGAACTTTTTCTGTATGAAAACAAAATAAGTGCCATCACTTTCTGTTACGAATAAAATCACTGTTCTGATTTTCTTATCACTAAAATAATGAGCTTATTTTGAATCGAATTTAAGTACACAAAACATGAGACCATCCAAAAACTTCTAGGTCATCTCTGTCAAATTTTACTGTTAAAATTTCAGGAAGTTAAGAGATAAGATTTAAAATTCATGGTATTTTTTTTTTTTTTACATGTCAGTTGTTAAAAGTCCAGTATGTTTAAGAAACCACCTTCATTATTGACCAAAAGATCCCCACTAATCTTAACAAATTGCTAAGTATTTTTAACTTACTCATTTTTAGCCAGGGACATTTTTAACCAATTAGGGAAAACATTCATTTCAGAATGTAACAAAATCCAAATCTTTAAATCTTCCTTAGCATTTAATAGTACTCTTACTTAGTTTGGAACTTCTATAGATGACTTTACTTTTAAAATAACCTATTAACTTCCAAATGAAATTTTGTGCTCAGAAAAGAAGGATGGGGCTGCAAAGTTCAGAATCACTCATTTCCTTATATGGTGAGTAAAGTAATCAAACATGTGCTTCAGTGAAAAGGAAATTTTTCAGTTTCTTTTACTGGAAAATATGAGAACAGAGTTCACTGTTGGCTGCCAAGTAATTCCTCCTCATGCCAAGTAATTCCTTCTAGAAAGATATTTCTAGAAGGGTTTTTTTATTTTGTGTGCTTCTTTTTACTATCTGGATGATTTAGAAACCGTTATGAAACCTTTACACATTTTTCTACTTGTTGGTTTGTTTAACTCTTGCAATGTAGAACTTGTCAAAGAGGAAAAAAAACCATCAACATTGCTGAAGTGATGAACTTGGAGCAGAGGTGAAGAAGGGAGCACAGTGCCTTGGTTAGGTGACAGGAGTGTGTGTTGGACAGCCTGGCTTTCCACTCCCAGTTCTTTCTCTTACTGTATCGTTTGAACAACTTATTTCTCCAAGCCTCAGTTTTCCCATCTGTAAAATGGGCATGACAGTATCACACAATTAAATCTGAAAATTAAATGTCAATGAACGTAAACTACTTAGTACAATACCTAACACCTAGTAAGTCTTCAGATTAAGCATTTTAGTAAAGTCATGACACTAGAGGTGTTTGGCGTTTTTTTGTTTTTGTTTTTGTTTTTGTTTTTTTTGAGACAGAGTTTTACTCTTGTCTTCCAGGGTGGGGTGCAATGACATGATCTCGGCTCACTGCAACCTCTGCCTCCCAGGTTCGAGCAGTTCTCCTGCCTCAGCCTCAGCCTCCCAAGTAGCTGAGATTACAGGGACCCACCACCATGCTAGGCTACTTTTTTCTATTTTTAGTAGAGATGGGGTTTTTCCATGTTGGCCAGGTTGGTCTCGAACTCATGACCTCAGGTAATCTACCCACCTCAGGCTCCCAAAGTGCTGGAATTACAGGCGTAAGCCACCACACCTGGCCACTAGAGGTGAATTATAGGTAAGGAGAAGAGCTTGGATAAATGTTCTGATAAGAACTGGAGCAACTGGCATTTGCCATTGGCTGTGCATAGGGAATCACTCTCACTTGGTAGTTGTTGGGCAGTATACAGTTTTAAGGTTGTTTCAAAGACCTTAGTCTTGTTTAGATTATCCCTTGACTAGAGGGGATCCAGGGGGTCTTTCCCAAAACATCCCTTAGAAATGGTCCTAAGCAGCTCGGCATGATGGCTCACACCTGTAATCTTAGCACTTTGGTAGGCCAAGGTGAGCAGATCATGAGCTTGGGAGTTCCAGACCAGCCAGGCCAACATAGTGAAACCCCCATTTCTACTAAAAATACAAAAAATTAGCCAGGTGTGGTGGTGGGTGCCTGCAATCCCAGCTACTCAGGAGGCTGAGGCAGGAGAATCACTTGAACCCAGGAGGTAGAGGTTGCAGTGAGCCAAGATCCATTGCACTCTAGCCCGGGCAACAGCGCAGGACTCCGTCTCTAAAAATAAAAAAATGGTTCTAGGCTTACTGCAAGCATGTTCATCCAGCCACAATCAGGGTCTTCCAGTTGAATGTGGAGGTACTGGCATCTTTTGAACCACAGATGCCATTTCTTCCTCTGTAAAAATGGAAACAGTGTCTTCTGTTACGGGAAGAAATTGAATCCTATTAGCCAAGGACTCCAGAAATTGATGTGGCTTAAGCAAATGGGGTAAAAAGGAGAGGAATTTATTTAAAAAATAAATAGCGTATATTGATGTCTCATGAAACATATACAGGGGACTGCAGTTGAGTCTCAGGAACAGAATGGAACCAGGAATTTGAAAGCCTTTGAGACTGTCTCCACCTCTGCGTTCCCCTCTCCCTCTGAGACTCATGCCATCTGGTTCTGCAGTCCACGTGTGGAATAGCATGCCTGCCAGCATTCCAGAGAAAGCATTGAGTCTTCCTGCATCCTCAGCCTCTCCCCTCCCCATTCCAGCTGGGTCAGATACTGACCCCTGGACCAGCTGGGGGTAGGAAGGTGGCAGCGTTTGAACAGGGCTCCCAGAAGCCCATTCCTTACAGCTTTGCAGGTGAGGCAGGAGGAGGGATTTCAGGCTGGCCGGTGGCTCAGGACGTCAGCTCTCCCTTGTGGTCAAGAATGAAGCTCTCAGAAGTCCTGGGACTTAAAAACATAAGAAAAACATTCTTGAAGTTGACAACCCAAATCTGCGAAATAAAAAACTGGAGAAAGGTGGGAACCCTGAGTTTGTATTTCCAACGGACTTCAGGTGATTCTTGTTCTGACCGTGGAGCTTCATGCACCCAGGATGCCAGGCATGTGCTCAGCACGTGCTCAGGTGCTGGGCTGCAGTCCCGGAACTGTTAACGTTATCTCATCCGTCACAACGGAACATGGAGAAGAGGGGCACCTCTGTGGTCTTCCTGAAATGCATGGATACGTTTGTGTCCTTCCAGTTGAAACCTGACATTGTTTGATGTTTGTTGACCCTGGTACACGTTCTGCTTCTCAAAGAAGAGCCACAGCAGCTCAGAGGTGACTTCTTGTCCTTTGGAAATGGCGTGTTCCACTGGCTTTTCAGCTTCCTGAAATAGCTTCATCATCCAGAGGCAAAAGCTCCCAGCATCCTGAGGCGTGTGTTGCGGGGAGGGAGGGGCACGCTAATTTTAGTTGCGTTTCCAAAGGCGCCTTCTAAAGCCCAGCCTTGATCAGGCCCTGCTGGTGGCTTCTGCGTGATGCCCTCGTGTAGAGCGCTGTGGAGCCTCCCTGTCTCTCACAGCCATCTTGTCCTTCCCACGCACTCGTTCTCGCACACGCTTGTTCACACACTTGTCTGCACACATTCTCAGCACTTCACACAT